CGATTTAAATCAAACACKGATGCCAAAAGCCGACCACACAACCAACAAAAATATTACAGGGGCRCTTTTGCCAGTCTGTTATCACCCAGAGCTACAGCAAACCCCGTCTCAGACCTTCAAAACGACTCGGTTTTCCTTCAAATTCCTTCCACTGTAATTTCATACTTTGCTTTTACYAAAATAGTCCCTTCAGCCGTATTTCCTGCCCTGTCACCAGTGCAGGTTTGAATCCAGCGTGGCACTGGGCAGCCCAGGACACAAACTGGCCACGGGATGATCCTGGTTCTATTCCTGGCTCTCCTGGTGCCCACGAGCTCAGCCTGGTCAAGGGAATCAATCATGTACAAGGTTTTTCCTTGAATTTAGAGCCCTTGGATTGGGCTCCTCACTGCTTAGCAGGGCTTCCCACTAAGGAAAAGACCAGAAAAAATAACCCAAAAGACAGGAAAATTAGCACAAAAGCTGCAAATAACCCCTTAGTCACTGTGTGCCACAGARCCATCCACAAAATAAATCCACCAGCACTGCTCGATGTTGTTCTTCCTTGTGTTCACCTGGCATGAGATCTTCTTGCTGAAAAAAAAGTATGAAAGCTGCATTTTATGGGCAGCCAGAACGTTCAGGATGTATGGGAAGCTCAGAATGTTCTGGATGCAGGGGAAGATGAGCGACCTATTAATGAGATTTCCCGGYGAAAGGGAACGTTCTGATTCCTCAGATCCATTTGCAGAATTCGTAAGGACTCGAGGCCTCTCCCTTCCCAAACACCAGAGCCATATTTATATGTATGTGGGTCATCCCTGATGGTTTCTAGCCAAGGATTATCAGCACCTATTTCTTCCCTCTAAATAAAAGGCACAAAGGAAGACGCGGAGCCAGAAGAATCAGAGAAGACTGAAAATGCAACATTTTAACCTGCGATGTGAAGGTCTGAGAGCAGCACAATTATGTAACTTTAACAGAACTATCTTGCCAAGCTCCTCCAGAAAYTGAGGAAGAATTGATTTGGAAATCCAATTTCATCGGGCTCGTTTGCAATGCCACAGAACGGCGCTCGCAGCAGTTCTGTATGAAATTGGAAGTGCTTTAAGCAGCTTCATCATTTCCCTGGGTAATCAGAGGGGCACGAATCCCCAGCACCCACGTTTGTCACCTCTGTGTGTCACAGCGAGGACTCTGTGCCTGGAGGTGAGGACAGAACATCCCTCCCATCCCTTCCTCACCCAGCCCGTGTTTTACATCTCCAGGAAATCGCCAGGCTGGAGGAGCAGAGCTGGAAAGGACGAGTGTGACAGCTCAGGAACCCCTCCCTCCCCTTTTCCAGGYCCTGAGACACGGATTCCCCAAGCCAGGGGAAGGGCAGGGGTCTCCAGCCTGGTGGGAGCACCAGGAGCCCCCGAAACCACAGCCTGGCAGAACTGAGACTGCCTGAAGTCAATCCTGGCTGCTCCMTGACTTCAAACAACTTCTAATTTTAGCTCTGCTGTTCTCTAACCCTACCTAGTTCCCATCCCACCCCCACAACTACATAATAGATCTTTCCCTCAGATAAGTAGGGTGTTAGAACATTGAGAGGTTCTTTTTTTTTTTTTTCCTCACCCACAGGCACTAGCAGAAAAATGAATTACAGATTTATTTTTAGCAGAGCCTTTGGCCCTTTTTTTTCTCTGTAGGTTCCAGATCGCAGGTTCTGCAGCTCAGAACTATCCCAACCAACACAGCAGCACGAGCAATGAAAAAGGAACCATGAAAGGAGGAAAAGCAAGGTTTTATTCAGTATCCCATTCATGGGACATCAAGCTCAGCTGCCAGCTTGGTTTTTGTCCCTGCAACGCTCTTCTGGCATAAGACTCTCATTTTTCATCAAAGATCTAAATTAATTCCCATCTCTGCTGGGTCATGAGCTCCCCAAAAGTCCTAAGAAGGAAAAGCAGGGCAAAAGCGCAGCCCGGCATGGAAGGGGAGGGAAAGCTTGCTGTGGTTTTTGGAGACTGAAAGCTGGAGGCCTGGCTGATTGCAGTCCCCGAGGAGCTGTGAGATAACAGTGATGTCAGCCCGGAGACAACAGCTCTGCCTCACAATSCAACAGAAAGATGGCAACGCCATCAAAACACAAAAAAAAGGCTGATTAAACCACGACAGCAAACAAACGAGACAAACTGCTGCTGCTCTTGTCCTGGCAGTGTCCTCGGGGGCTGCAGCATCATCGCTGCCAGCAGGATTGTGCTGGGGCAGGGGGACGGCACAGCAGAGCTCACATCACGCCACTGTCACCCTGTGATGTCACCCATGGGGACCTGCAGAGCCCCGGGGCCACCGCCCGGCCCGGAGGGTCATCATGAGATGGTTCACTGTGCTGTGAGAAGGCAGGGAATGGCGAGAGGGACAGCGGCTGGTGGCCACACTGGGCCCAGAGGTGGCCAGGGTGACACTAACAGCACGGGGGGGATGCGGGGCTGAAAACAGAGCAGAGCCCTGCTGCCGAGGGTCAGAGCAGGCTGCTCCTGCCCGCAGTTCTGTCCGTCCCTGGTACAGACTGAAATCATGTGCCTGTCAGAGCTCCAGGAGGGAATCTGGGTTAACCCCAGCAGTGCCACCCCAGCAGAATCGCTGCTCCTGCGCCAAGGACTGAAGGATTTGTTTGCATCCCATGTATTAAATGCTTTTTTTTTGTTTTTTTCCTTTATATAAACCCTACCCCTACAAAGCCATTTCACATCACATCCAGCCCACAGTAAATACCCCCAGCAAGTTCAGAGAATTCTGCATTCTGTGCTCAAATCTGCTCAAATCTGTGCTCCTCCAATCAACCCAGCAGGGACAAACACAGAGATTTGGGTAAAACAGGACCTGAAATAACACCCCTCACTCTCCCAGGATATTGCAGCATGACCAAATAAACAAAACTGCCTGTAAATATCCTGGGGGGGAGCAGAGCGACAGCTGCAGAGATCCAAAATGCTGTCTAATTAAATACGGGCAGCAATCAGAATATTTGATTTCGGGAYTGAGAGGAAGATGAAGGGGGATGCTGAAGAGGCAGGGCTTGGGTAGCACTTCCCAAATGTGCCCAGGGGAGCTGATCGGGATCTTCATCACTTCTCACCTGAACAGAGAAGCCCAGGAGTGCCCGGGGAACGCAGAGGGAAGAGCGTCACCTACTGCAGGCCGGCAGCGCTCCCTCCAGCCCCATAATCTGCTTACAGCCCCACGCAGCCCCGGGAACCCGCCCCAACCCTCCCTCCCCGCCGAGCTGCGGGCTGCCACCATCACCAGGCTGCCCAGTGTGAGCTGGGTTAAACTGGGAGCACAAAACCTCCCCAGCTCCGTGCTGAACGGATCTCCTGGTGCCGGGGAGCAGGGGGAGGGATGCAGTGGGGGCCGGGTCACTGCAGATCCACAGCATCCCAGCATTTCCAGCACATGCTTTGCTCTCCCGGTACTACGCCGAGCTATTATGCAACTCCTCAGCACAACTGCACAGCACAGAAGGCAGCGGATCACTGCAAGAGAGCGTTTTTTTTTTTGTTTTTTTTTCATATTAAAAAAAAAGTAATATTTTCAAATGCTAACATCCTTTTCAAAATGCTAACATCCATATCATTTGTACAGTCTGTGTAAGACACAGCCATGTACACACACGAAAAATTCAAAAGCTCTCAGTGTAATTAAATAAAAGACAGAATTARAGAAATTAGAAAAAGAGATGACCTATTGAGTCATCCCTGGCTGGGTCTGTCCCTCGGGGCCAAGTACAAGATGCTGCCTAGTCCTATACTGTAGTGATTTTATTTTTACACAGAAAAAAAAAAAATAAAATAGCAACAATAAGTAAAATAACAAATGTAAAATAACTTCACTGTTTTCTCACACTTTCCAGGCGAGGGTCTCAAAGCACCACATTCATCCTGATGCAAACCAGTGCACTTGAGAGGGAGGCTGTCATTTCTATGATTACTTCCTTTTTCATTACAGAAAAAAAAAAAGGATTAAGGAAAAGAAACAGGCCTGCCCATTGCTCTTGTCATCCACTTCAACCCAAATTACAAAGTCACATTCCACTATTAACTATGGAACCGTTCCCATCTGATAAAGTTCTGGTTAAATCAATTTCATCATCATAATTCAAAGGCTATTTATTCTAACTAAGTGGTTCTGACCTATCGGATGTTTAAAATAGTTTTGATACACTCAGGATTGTATGGAAGCCTTTGGTGGTCTAGTTTATACTGTATTTTATACATATATATATAAAATTRTATCTTCTATTACATACGTATATATTTACCTGCCCATGTAAAACTTGACGAATAAAAATATTTACAATGTGAACGTTTTAGACACACTCAGCTCTGTTAATTGCCCTTCACCCACACAGTGTTTTCTTCCACTGCCCACTTAGCCAAACCTGGCGAGTTTTCCCCCAAAACACCCAGCAACGATKAAAGAATTATCGAGCACTGGGGTACCTCGAACTCTGGTATGTTCAGCGAGGCGAATCCCCAAAAGCAGCTATTTAAAGGACAAGCCGAGCCAGAGCCATTCTACTCACGCAGGACCCAAAACACCTCTTTTCCCCCCACATTTTTCGGCAAAACCTTCCCGTGCTGATCTCCCTGCGTGTCCCTCCAGYCCCGAGCCCGGGTGATGCGGTTCGGGCTGGCAGCGGCGGGGAGGGAGATGCGGCCGGAGCCCGGGGAGGCTGTGGCATCGCCGCGCTGCTGCGGAGATGCCCGGGCAGGAGCGGCCCAGCGCCGCATCCACCGCCGGAGCCTCTCCCGGTGCCTCCCTTCCCATCCCTTCCCTTCCCTTCCCTTCCTCCCTCTCTCCATCCGCATCCCGCAGCCGGGTACCCCCGGCGATGCCGCAGCAGCAGCGCCGCGAACTTGGCGGAGCGCATCCCCTTCCCCCGCCCGCAGCGGGGCCGCGATTTCGGGGAGGGGGCCGAGATTTCGGGGAAGGGGCCGCGGCACCCCCAAATCCCCCCGCCGCGCTCTTACCAGGCGAGCTTGAACCCTTTCATTAGTACAGCCACGATAATCCGCTGCCCGTGTCCTTGTCTGCCCACTGAGAGCTCCAGAGGTCCCAGGACATATTGCAGCAGCCCCGGCCGGCGAGGGTGCCGCGGGGAGCGCCGAGCCCCATGCGCCGAGCCCCCCTGGCCGGGGCACGGCCGCTCCCCGCGCCCCCCGAGCCGCGGAGAGCAGCGCAGCGCTCCCCGCAGCAGCAGCAGCAGCAGCAGCAGCGCCGGGGGCTGAGCCGGCCCGCTCGGTGCTGCTGAGCATGTGCAGCAGCGGCGGGACCGCGGCATGCCATGGCATCCGTGCTGCCCGCCGCGACAGCCGCGACACACAGCCGCGACACACAGCCGCGACAGCAGCGACACACAGCCGCGACAGCCGCTCCGCCGGCCGCACAAAACAGCGGGGAGCGCCCGCAGCCCCTCCCGGCCCGCAGCCCCTCCCGGCCCGCAGAGCCCCTGCCCGCGGCTGTGGGGCAGGCACGGAGCGAAGGGATGGCAGGATGGCAGGGATGCAGCTCAGGGATCAGCTCGTCCCAACCCCCGCGCCATGGGAARGGATAGATCCTTGTCCAGCCTGGCCTTRGWCACCTCCAGAAACGGGGCAGCCATAATTTCTGCAGGAAATCTTTTCCAGTGCCTCACCCCGCTTTCACTGTACAGAATATTTCGGATTATCCCATGTAACCCTGCTCTGTCAGCGTGCAGCCGTTCCCCCTTGCCCTGTCACTCCAGGCTCTTGAAAAATCCCCTCTCCATCTCCCTTGTAGGCTCCCTTCAGTCCTGGCCATATTTCCACCCCGATTTCTGGGGCCAGCAAGAGCAAACCCGAGTGTGGAAAGCCCCTCACACACACGGGTCATGATCCTTTGGTCTTTTTATCTGCTTTTCTCTTCAAGCACAAGGCCCTCTCCATGTAGGAGAAGCTGGAGAAGAGGCAGAGCAAGCCCCAAATCCTCTCCTCCCTCTCCCAGGGCTGCAATGTTTGGTAGTTGATGCTTGTGGGGGGATTTGCCAAACCACCACCCCAATTCCCAGACTGTCCCAGAAAAGGAGAACTCAATCACTGGTGATGCTCTGGAAGCTGGGACATTTAACCTAAACRTYCCCTCTCTCAATCTGTACCCATTTCTCCTTGTYCTGTCGCCACARATCCTAACRAAGATCCCTCTGGTTCTAAACCCTTCTCGTTTAGAAGGTTCAAACTCRACTCAGGTTTTCATTTCTCCAACAAGATAATTAGATTTTCAGTCCATTCACRCYGWGATGCTGCTTCAAYACTGTAGGTCATGTTTCCCTTTAATTAAAYCCAAGAAACTACCAMAAACARGTACAGAGAAGAATTTTCAAATGGTTCTTTTGTTTCTGTCATTGAAAACAGCAGGATCCAAGCACAGCCTGCTGCTCCTGAAGATGGGTTGGGAGGGAATGGGGCAGTGTATTTCAAATAATTTATAATTTAATTCTTTCCTCATAAAGTACTTCAAAAAGTAAAGCCTGGGAGTGTCCAAGGATGAACATCCCCACTCTTACTCCATACAGGGAGCTCTTGAAGGTGTTTGGTCCTGGGACAGGGAGAGCCTTGATTATAAATCCCAGTTTTAGAGGAAAATTCATCAGTTTTAGAGGAAAGAGAGCAGGCAGCTMTGTGTAAATAAAGATTCTAYTYTCTTGAGGGGCTTTTTATAGTATTTTGGGGTTTTTCTGCACTCCTACCCCCATCCCCATGGCTGCAGATAATTAAGAGTGAAAAACMTTGACCTGTAAAATCACCACCCTCATTCTGTTGGGGACAGAGGGGACAGGAGGGTGCTTGGGAACAGCTCTGTTCTGGTTTTGAAAGATTTCAGTGAAATTTGTTTGAGGAAACATTGAGGTTCTGATCCCCACATCCCCTTTGGAAAGTAACAAATGTGGTTCTTTGCTTTCCTACTTTGCCTAATAACGACAAAAGATCTTTTTCCTGATTCTCCCAAACCCTGAAGAGATGAAGAGCAGCAAAATCYCAGTTCTGAATTCAGCAGAAAATCRCTTTTGGAGGGYTTGGATCATCCCAGGGCAGTGAAATGAAATGGGATCTGGGCAGTGGGGCTGAAGTTCGAGAAATTGGGGAAGTTCCACTGAAATGGGGAGTTCTGCAGGAGAGCCCAGGGCAGATAGGGTGATCCCAAATCCCTGCTTTGGGAATTTGCTCCAAAGACAACTCTGCAATGCATTTTCTGTTCATTTCTAAACAAAAAGCAGAAATTTAACCATAAAGCCAGCCACGCGACAAACAGCACGGAAAAAACGCCTTCAAATCTCACCCCACATAATCCCAGACTCAGCCCTCATTAGGCCCAACCTCCGCCAGCTTGGGCTGGGCTTTGGGCTGGGCTTTTCTCCACGAGATGCTCCGCAGCCGTGGCCTGCAGGTTGTCAAGGAGGGTAAGCAAATCACAAATGCTGGAAAATGGGTCAGGAGACCTGCAAGCTTGGCAAATCTAGGACAGACTAATGCTGCAGAGTCACATGTTTGGRAATCAAAGCTCAGGCAAGAAAGGTATTAAGAGATAAGCAGTCATGCACTTTTTTTTTTTCCTTTTTATCCAAATAATGTGAGGGTTGGGGGAATTATCAAAGGGGACAGATCACTTGGAAGGTGTTGGTTGAAATGTCTGGCTGGCMACAACCCAGCTGGAATGTGCTGTCTAAAATCCTCCCAACAGGAGCCTTGGAGGGTTTGTGGGTCCCCCACCACTCCCAGGCAGTGTCACCACCATTCCCAACCAAAATCCCACATTCTGGCTGATCCAGCTGTGCCA